GTGATTATTTAACTTTCCTACAGTATCAAACTTTCAATTGCCATTTCCATTTCCTATGCATGTATGTTCCGGAGCTCGTGTCTCCCCAATAAAACAGCGCTATGACACCCAACATGGAATACTAGCACCTTTGTTTGTTGGTCCTAACAACGTATTTCTTTGGCGTGTCAAACCTGCATATAATTGCATCGTACGTAGCAGCCTCTTGCTAGTCACTTTTCTCCGCCATTCAAATTAAGATGTTAGAATTTTCGCCTTATTCATAACATGGATTACAGAAAGTTGATGTCTATCAGGGCAAACATATCAAAGAATGTTGGATTTCTTCACTGCAGTACTCTCGTGAACAGATTTTAAAGTCTCTCGCAACAATATGTTTGAGGGGTCTGGCAAACCCAGGTATTGAATAATGAATATTAAAGGAGCGTACATATGGGATACAGTTAAATTTCCTGGCCAATCACAAATAACGTCCTATTTTTTATGACGTATCTGACATCACAACTAGTTAACGGGCTTCACTGAAGCCCAACTAAGTAAATTCTTTTGGGCTGTTTAACAAGACAACTTACGCAGAACTATTTATCCGAAAATGATACGTCCAATTAAAAGGAAAAAGTATCCGTACTAATCGATGGTCAACCATTATATAACATATTTGAAGGCTAAACATTACGGACCGTTTTTCCTTGATATTCGCAGAAAGTTTTTCGAATGCCAAATTTGTTTCCGCTTTATATAATTTTCTTGTTGATGCAGAAGGACTCACGCAATAGCTAGGCGCGGGACCGTAACCCAGGAAATTCAAAGAGGATTTGATTTATAACCTCATTTCGGTGAGCTTTCTCCAGGAAAGATGGGCGTGGCGAAAATTGTTTTCAGAGGTTTTCGGGAATGAGAATACAATTTCTTTAAGCAATTGATAATATTAACGAAAGTTCACATAAAATACTAATCTATAAGAAAACGTAAAGGTTGTAGAAAAAACGATATTTGTAATTACAAGTCAGTTTATAATCAAATAACTAAGTCGACAATATTTTGTAAAGTCGTTTAATTTGATTCTCAGTTTCTATTCTTTTGCGCGTACCATGAGAGACTGGAAGGGATGAAACCAACAATATTTGAATTACGAGGAAACAACCAGGGAAAGAGAAGTTTAATGCGACGACAGGACCAGCCAAGAATACCTCGTTGAAACCCACTTTGTGGCCACAAACTACGCGTGGATGACGGGTTAATAGAAGCATTGTTCTCCCCGATAGGATGATGAGAGGTCTGGCCCTACACCTCGTCTGAGAAGTCTCAGTGACTTCTGCCCTCATGCCGGGACGGTCACTAGAGATAAGAGTCCCTATGGGGAGAATTTTCCACCCTAGCTAGATTTACCTTAAGTGGCGCTGTCTGGAGCAAGAATTAAGCGCGCGGCTGCTCTGATCAGGTAGTTTTTCGATGGGCTTCGTCTCGTTCAAGCACCAGGACGAATGCTCGGATGCCAGTACGCGTAAGACCAGGCCATGAACTGCGGCACGATCTTTCCTTCCTTCTTTGTCCTACCTCACCTCCCATCTTAACACATCCACACGTACATGCGCTACCACTATCACAACTTATCTCGAGACCAATCGGGGCTTAGAGCTTTGTACGGGGATGGCAGAAGTGTGTCGCTGAGAGTGAAATATGAGAAGGAAATCAATTCGCAAGCTGGATCTGTTCGTTGCAGCGGGTGAAGGAAGGGGGGGGGGGTGCAGAAGCGTCCCGGAAGGGCCTGGTATCTCCGCTCATGGATTACAACGGCGCGAAAGCAAGTTGCCGGCCCTGGAAACAGGCGAACTCCCCGCTCGCAGGCACACTGCAACGACAAAATCGCGCGCGCGAATCCCACTTCGTGCGACATAAACTACGGGTGGATGGACGCGGATTGAAGGCATATACCCGAAAGAGAAGATGAGCGGTCTGGCCACAACGTATCGGCTGAGATGTCTCAGTAACTAACTGCAGGCGGCTCTAGGCCGGAAGGTACGTACTTATATTCAATGGTGGGATTTCCACACATAGCTGATATATTACTATGCGTGGGCCGCTCGTCTCGGGGAGAGAATTGTAGCGGCGGCTGCTTGTATCGGTGATTTTTTCCCTAGTTCTCCGACCAACAGGCATCCGGCGCGAATGCGCGGAGCGGTTATTCATAAAACAGGCCATGACCGACGCGCGCTCTTACGCTTTCCTTCTTGTCCACTCCTCAGGCCCTTACGTTACACACATTTTCACTTACATTGGCAGCATACACTTTCCAATCATGTCGGGAGCTTCGAGGGCTGTTCCCGGCTGGCGGGGCTAGTCTCTGGCTGGGAAGTAGGAGAAGGAAATCCCTCCGCATAGCGCACGTATGGATCGGGCGGGCGTATCTCTCGTTGCAGGCAGGTTGAGGAATAGCATAACCTTCGGCAGTGCGATGTTCCACCCTGAATATTGGCGAAATTCCTTCCTCGCAGCACGGCTGGGCGCGTGGATGGCCGTGAGTGGACGGACAGCGGTCCGCCACATCTCCAGGGGCCGTATGTAAATTGGGGACGCATATATACCTTCATATTTTCTCGCTGATTAACATCATTTTCCAATCCTACAATGCAGATTGAGGACTAACAAACCCAGGTAAGGACAAGATGACTAGCAGCGGACGCGTAAGCCTGTTAGGGGGAGAGCGGAGCCTGACGTTTTGTCCAATTTTTATTGTTGCCTTAATTGAAAATGCTCCAGAGCTCGTCCTACTCAATGCAATGAAAAGCAAAGAAAGCACGCTAGAACTGGTCCACATTTCATGTTCTGAATAGAATATTAGCTGAGAGAAAGGAAGAATATAAAAATACCACGATTAAGACGGATATTCATTGCAATTAACAAATGTCTTCAATTGATATGAAAACCCACTTACACCAGCAATCACAATTTGAAAGATGAGCGCTGTTTACGCGTAACTTTTTATGACGAATTCAAGTTAAATACTGAAATACTTTGATTTTTCCAATTAACGTGAAATTGAATTGATTTATAGCGAAAGGGTCTTGAAGGAAAATTGTTGAAACATAGGATGTTCTTATTTATCGAGACATGAACACCTGCGCTTTAATTATAGCAGTCGTGATTTGGGTTAAGTACTAGAAGAAGTTCACTTCCTCATTTCAAGAAAAAAATACAATTATTCCAAGTGGATTACACTCTATGTATACACTAAATAATTCTATGTTTTGTGCAAAAACGTCAATACAGCAAATAATGATCAGAAAAAATGATTCAAAACATGGCATTTTAACACGCATTGCGACAACACACGCATAGCTAGCCTGAATGTGGAGATATGAATATCTGTGTGTAGAGAGGCTCTCTTTTTTGAGAGGCTATCGGCTAGATGCTCAGGGCATGTAGCAGCGAGATATATTGGTCGGTTCAAATTAAATGATCGCCTTATTTTCCACGGCCGAGACCTCAGGCGCATGCGGTCGATCAATCATCATCATCTCATCATCATCTGACATTCGCAAATATGGGTCGCTTCCTTTCACCTGCTATTGAGGCGAATTTCGAATTTAGCTGCAGGGCTTCTTCTAGGCTTTGGACAGCTTAGTAGCATGGCCTAAATCAAAGCATGAGACAGGCCAGCGATTTTCGTGTCTCGGAAAGAGAGGCGCTACGCAAGGATTTTTCGGCCCTTAAAATCGGGCTTCGATGGAGTTTGAAGCTGCAAACTGGTATAACCCGCTAACCGATAAGCCGTCTATACTATCGAGGCCTGAGCTGTTATATCGACCAGGTCTTCGAATCCCGCACGGAAGGGAGAATTTTCGACACTAGCTTCATAGTTAGAAGACACTCAGGCATCAGCTGTCTGGAGGAGAATATCTGGCCCGGGCTATTCTATCGGTAGTGTTTGTGAGTTCCTCTATATTAATCCCTTGGAGACAGCATACGTTACAAAAGGGGCACGGTCTCTGCGGCATATTTCCTTTCCTCTTCCTTGCCCTTCCTCACGCTTTTGCTTACACTCACTTATAATTCGATGCAGCTACACTACCACACATGCCGTGAAAACCGGTCAGGAGCAGTTCAGAAGAGGGAGGTGCCCCTGGGTGAGAGATACTCCGAAAGGAAAAAACGCTTTACGGTCAGACTTTATACTTGATTGAATTGAATAATTAGTGATTCCGGGCGCGCAACAGTCGCTAAGAACTAGGAATAACAGGACACCCATGTGTTGTTCGTGCATGTTTCCTGCGAGAGGGTGGTGATCTACCGCTTGAGATGGTGAGATGCGCAGCGGCCGACCTTACCGTCAGCTAACGGGGGCTTTTCCCTCAACGCAGGTATTCAGCCCCAGCGGAGCACGCGCTGGAACCACGGCTGGAGCAGACTCCAAGCTTAAAATTTGTCTCCTGGCGTCTATGGTGAGTCATAGTGTATGTAAAGTCAGGGGTGGGTAGGACAAGGGAGAGGAAGGGGAAAGATCGCAGCGTGGTCTGCGTGGCGTTTGTTGAGGTAGATGTCCATCATTCACATAGATACAAACCGACATGTAGTCCGGCGTCAGTATCCATCATTACAGCGTCGTAAAACATGCCTTGGCCCGCACGTGACAAAAACATGCACTAAACTGTACGAGACCAACGACATCCGCAGTCATGGCGTCCGATCGCAATAATGACGCGTCCGCTCCGCGGGTGGCCCGCCTCACCACCGGAAAGAGAACGCGCCGAGCGCCCACTGCGTGCGCGCGCCGTAGCGGCGGCGGCGTGCGCGGAACGAGGCGTCGCCAGCGCCTCCCGCGCCGCCCGCGCGCGCCGCCCGCCGCGCCGCGCCGCTGCCGCGTCACCTTGACGTCACGGCGGCCGCCCGCTATATGTCGCGGCGCGGCGCCGCGCCCCCGCCAGTGGTCTCGTGCGCGCCGAGGCAGCTCGAACTCTGGCGGCCGGTCGCTTCTTTTCCCTTTTGCCTTTCGCTGGCCGATGAACGGCACGGACGACGCGGCGGAGGCGGGCGGGGAGCGACGGAGACGGGGCCGCGGCGGTTGTGCCGGCGCCGCCGCGAGCTGTCGCGCGGGCCGCCGGGCGCCCTTCCCAAGCTCAAGAAGCGTTCGCTTGACTCCATGGAAGCGCAACTGGCTGGACGACGACGAGTCGAGGTGCCGGCCACGCCGCGCACCCCGCGCACCTCCACCACGCCAGGTACCGCTCCGCGCCACGCGCACCTTCCTCCTAGAAACGGCTTAGCCCCACTGCATCGCGTTTGCCTACCTGCACAATATACCTGCCTAGTCCGACTGCGTCGCGTTTACCTTACTACACAGAAAAACCGCATAGCCCGACTGCATCGAGTTTACCTACTTACACAACACGGCACAGTGATAATCTACCGCCCCGAAAAGGCATAGCCCCAATGCATTCCGTTTACCTACCCCTCAGAAACGCCATTGTCCGTCTGCATCCCTTTTACCTACTCAAATAAAACGGTTTCATTATTTGATTAGTGATTTCGGGCGCGTGAACTGCTAATGTCATTGTTCTCTTAAGTATAGTGCATGTTTTCCTCAGCAGGAGGAGGAGGTCCTATCTATCTGGTTTCCCCTAAACAGGTATCTCCCACCAACAGGGTACCATTTCAGCCGGGACAAGCTCTAAGCTCCCGACAGATATCCCGGCATGTGTGATAGTGTAGTGCATGTAAGTGTACGTGTGTGTAAGTACAAGGTGAGGTTAGGTCTAGGAGGAGGAAGGAAAGATCGCGTGAGGTCCGTGACGTGTCTGTTAGGGTATTTCTACGGTATTAGCCTGATGACCTGAGAAACTACGAAAACTTTAAACAAGAGTAGTCGATTGTTACAATTGTCCTCCAGTCTAGTCAGCAGCTGAATTCAATCATTGTCGAAAATCCTGCCACTATCGGGACTGGAACCCTCCCGGTCGGAGGCACTGCAGAGTGGCACCGCTCACGTGTTTGGTCCATTCTTTGTATGCCAACGTCTAGCGTATTCACTTAAAATTTTGTTATTGTATTTTCTAACGTCATGGCCTGATATAAAGTAACGAACTATTTGCTCTCTCTTCAGCAGTCCTTTTGGGCTTCAGCGAATACGTATTACTTAACACATACTAATTTTGTACACCAATCTTCTATTATTCTGCTTAGTTTATTTTGGGATTCCTCTCCTTTTCAAAGGAAAATATTTTTCAAATGTTAATTAAATTGTTTATTATTTTATTAATTGTTCAGTAACCTTACATTTTTTCTTCGAGATATATTATTTGAGCATTATTTTAGGCAATATTATCTGTAGTTTCAAAATGTCACTTTTTCAACTTTTTTCACATACGTCAAGTTCCACAGCTTCGGATTTATAAATTCAGTAGCACTGCTGTCAGAAAATATTCATTATCTGTAATAAAAGAATCTCGGCAATACGTGATATGGAGTGGCTTGTGTATTTATCTTAGTTATGTGATGCATGTTCATCTGTGTTATGATGACATTCAGTTTTTATAATATCTCGTGAAATATAATTTACGTATCTGTAAAGGCAGATTTTACTTTACAACTTGAATTCAGCATTAAGAACAAAGGGTTTACATTAGAAAACTTCCAACACAATGTTGAAAATTACAGGTAACCAGTACATTAATAAATTTTAAAATGGCAAAATTAAATTGTTTAATTATTTGTTATGGTATTGATTGATTTTTCGGAAGCGTTATTCAATAATTTTTTTGTAATTTTCAGGAGTTTTTATTTATCAAAAAATAACGATTCAATTGAACATTTTGATTGCAAATGTGTTGTTGTGTTTCATGTCCTCTGTTCACTCATTCAACTTCATGTACAAAGGATAAAAGAGTGATATTACAGAATGGCACAGACTTTCCCATATTATTTTCTATTTTCTTTGGTCCCGGGTAGCTATACGAACTTGCTACATACTCTTGCCATCTGACATCTATCACCGCCCAATGTACATTTAAAAAAATTCGTTTCCTAATAGTAGAACGGAAATATTATTTTAAGAATATTAAAAAACAGTAAAACCTCGTCCTAGAAGGCAATTTTCTATGAAAAATTTGGAACCGTTTTTAAGAAAATGTCACTTAAGCGCTACTGTAAATTCGAAATTTGAAGCTTTTTTTGACAGGAATTTTTTGTGTTTTGAAAAAAAACCGTCATTGGAACTCACAAGTACAATAGTGTTTACAAATTGCTGGAAATGTGCATATTAACTGCTTGATACGTAATTAATAAAGATATCTGGGTAATTTTTGAAAAACGAAAAAATTCTCCGAAATCAATTTTATGTCTTATTAAAGAGTGTAATTATTCGTACGGAATGTTAATAATAAAACAAACACGATGAGATTAAGATATGGGCCAAAATTCACAAAACATGAACAGTAGGATTGAACTTAGCTGAGATGTTCTCTTGGACATTCCTGAACTTAAAATATGTTTGTGCATTATAAACGACTCATGTGTGCTATAAGACACTTCATGTTTATTTTTTAAAACAACATAAAATTCCAATTTCTTTTTCAATGTATGGAGAAAGAAATAATCATGCGCTGTGTAGATATTAAATAATATATTAGCTTCAAATGTATACCGTGATAAGTAATTGTAAATATCGATAACACTTTTCATTACATAATTTTAGTATTTAATATTGTTTTGTACAAACGGCGCAAGACCAATTCATTATCGCCACAGTCGTTTTCCATAAAATTTGCATGCATTAGTAAATAAAACCTGAAAGCCGAACCAGATCTTCGGTACATTTATTTCTCTTATTCCCCACTCATCCACTTGACATGGTAATAATGTAGTCGGCGCTGCCTAGAAGCATGAACACAAGGTCAACGCCTAAAGCCTTAAGCCGCCACGCAAACACACGTACGCCTCTGAGTAGTCAACTAAAAGGCGGTAACGACACATTATGTATTTAAACAAATTGTTACTTTCTCGCTACGGAGTAGAGAGAACAATTTGTAATGCTGTCCAAAAAAACGCAAATTTTCGGTAGAAAAACTATTATTACAGGGCTCTGGTAACGAAAAAGTGGGTAAATCCAGTTGCTAAATTTATTTTAAAAACCTCTAATACGTAGAGTAGCAACAATCCATGTTTTGTGGATCCTTGGTACCGAAAAATCAATTAAGACAAAAGTCTGTCCGTCCGTCCGTCTGTGAACAACGCTAGCGGCTAAACCGTTCATCCGATTTTCTCTAAAATTTGTATTCTTCAATCAATCTGGCTGATGTAGCGGGCTTTCGATATTTTAATTTTGGGGGATAGTTTATATGAAGCCCCAGTGACATTTTCCAAATTTTCAAAAAAAAGTCTCCATCGTTTTTGATTAATTTTTGTTGTTGGATAGTGCGAAGAATGTTTAAGAAAAAGCTGCAGGCCTATGTTCCCGAAAATTCTGAATTTTCAAAAATTGCAAAAGTTCAAAATTGTTTCGGAATCTTCCTACAACTAAAATATTAAAGATAGACATTTTTCCCACAATGAAATCTATTCCACAAATATAGATTTTCAACAAACAAATTTTCAAAAATCTGTCTACTTTTGTGTAATTTAGTGCAAAAATACTGTCGAGAAGTATGTGTTGTTTGAGCACCACGAGTTCTTAATTACAATCAGACCTTGCATCTTACTATTTATCGCGATAATATGTACATCTGCTACTGCAAAGCTGTACAGTATTAACGTCTACCACAAGATCAGGCAATTCCGTGATTGATGTGGTACAGATTTTCCATTATTTTATATGAAAGGGAATCGTCCAAAGTGATCATCAGACTAGGAAAATCTTTAACCTTTACATTCTATAACTGCGAAGTTGTGAATATACGCCCTCTCTGAAGATAATATGAAAACTTGCCTCATAAAAAGAATCTAAGCCCTCATATCTACTGGTATTTCCATACCGCATTTGATAGATATTACTCTTCTGACAATTTAGCATAAAATTGCAGTCGGTCATTCTGGCCTTCACAGCTTTATTGACGCCAGATGTTCCCTCTCCTGGGGTGATTGCGAAGAACCGTCTCCGCAATCCAACATATTGTGTCATAGACCTTAAATGTAAAAATTCCCAAAGGGGAGTAAGGGGTGTGAATGAGAATGCCGTATTTTGAAATAAGTATTGTGCAGGTTGTAGACCGGGAGGCTGCAACCCCCTGCAACGAGAAAGCCCGTGCTGACCCACACCATTTCCCGCTTAGGAAGCTCCCCAGGCGGAGTAGCGCCTCAGTCAAAGTACGTTCGAAGCTCCCCAATGGTCTCCTGGCATGGGTGGTAGGGTAAGGCACATACGTGTAAGAGGGCGAAGAGACAAACGCGAGGAGACAAGGAGACAAAAACGGGGTCCGTGGCCCGTTTTTTTAGGGTATTGCTTCAGCATTTGCCTGGTGTTGATCGGAGAAACCACGGAAAACTACCTATCGAAGCTGCCGGTTGCTGAAATTCTCCTTCATACAGTGGCTGAATTCCTAGTGACCTCGCTAACTAATTAGAGACGAAACTCCTACCATCGTTGGGACATTTGTGGTAGTATAGTGCAAGCATGTGTGTAAGTAATGCAAAGTAAGTGCAAGCATGTGTTGAGGAAAGGACGAAAAAGAAGAGGGAACATAGCAGTTGCACGCTAGTATTCTCTCTCAGTTAACGGCTGGAATCGGCTGGAATCCAAGTTAGTGTCGAAAATCCGCCACCGTCAGGCTCGAGCCCTAAATCCTCCAAGTCAGAGACACTGAAGTTGCACTAAGCCATCTCAGCTAGTGACTTAGAAGTGGTGCAGTCGCTTGGTGGGATGTTCCTACGGCATTTGAAATCAAACTATTCTATCGGTGACAGGGCATCTCATAAACTGATCTACAGAACCGTTAAATGTCCCATTTGTTTAGCAGATTGAATTATTTTATTATGCTAAATACAACTAAGTGTTATATCGACTTAACGCAAATAAACAGAGGAATGAAAAACCTCTCTTAACGGCCGGCGTCCAGTAAGGATTAACAGTACCCGGTCGAACAGCAATCGAAACAAAAGAGTTGTGGTTAAAGAAGTCGTTTGAGGACCTTTTTCCATGTTTATATGGAATTTTCTGATGGTATTACGAAAAGTACCGAAGTTCGTAACACAAATATCACACTCGAGTAGTTATTTTTAACCGTGCTAA